CTATATTTGCTTTTTTCCACATTATTTGAAAATTGTTATTATCAATGTTTTTGTTAACAATTGCTGTCATGTTTGGTAAAACAGCTACAGCTATTTTTTTTAAAGACAAATGCTGGTAGTACCATCGTACCCTGAAGCAGTTTTTTCTTTCAGGTTTACAAAATCTTGGTATACTATTCTGCAACCAATTATTTTAAGGATGAATGAATTTTTAAAGTTGCAACCTGGAATCAAGTTCAACAAAGGCATTTCAGAAGCGCTCACACAATCCACTATATAGAAGTTTAGGATATTCAAATCGATGACAGCCTTTTCATTTTTATGGGAAGAAAAACTTACTTCTCTAATGAATGCCCAAACGTTCCGAGTGTCATTTTGATTGATGTCCGTGTTTTTTAACTGCAATCTTGATAATATTTTTAATTTTTTTAATGCTTGCAAATTATTTATAAGTTCTTTATTGTTACAGTAGTTAATTAGTTTTTCTCATCTTTTTATTATAGAGGATTGTGTCCAGAGATGTGTTACAATTATTAATGCTAATAATAACTTTTTGGCTTGTCATCAAATTAAGTTTCGCAAAGTCAACTTTATAGAAAGATTGTTTGACAATAGGTTCAATTTTTGTACTTACTGCTACTTTAAGAGCTTTTACTGGGAAATGATCATTAATGGCTAATGATCCCACGCAGTAGCTTGTACACAGCATTTCTACTGGTATAGTAATAATGTCTGAACAAGTTACAGTAGTTCTCATTAGGGCAATCAATCTGATTGAAGCATTCGCAAGTAATAAGGTAGTATTAAGCGACTTTGCGGGACATAATGTAAGTTTCATCATGTTAGCATTTAAGTTACCAAGTATGCAGATTAGCCTAGTTGAAATGATTTCAGCAATTATTTGGTTAAATTTCAGAAACCAGTCTGTTGGTGCATTTGGCGGTCAATATACTCCTATAAAAACTACGGATCATTAAGGTTTATTAATTGAATTGAAATTACAATTGCATCCATTCCCTGGTCATTAATCTTTGCTTGAAACAAAGTTAAAACTTTTGGGTAAAGATTTTCTTTTGTAAATGTTATTACCCCACCACCTGAAGAATTTCTATCACGTCTGCTTATAAAGTAACCATCAAGTGCGAAAGATCCACAAGTGTCTCTTTCATCCAACTTTATTTCTTGCAGACTTACTATATCCATTTTGCAGATGTAATCTTTAGATAACAGCTATTTACTTCTTAATCCATTAATATTCCACGACACCAGTTATAATCTTAGACCATTAAAACTGATAGACACGGCGTTAGCTATATAATGCTAATCTAAAAGTAAAGCCGAAAAAAGTTTTGCTTAGTGACGATAGTTTGTGGCAAATAATATATCTTAAATAAATCTAAGATATATTATTTCACGGATAAGAGTTTGTATTTATTACAATAGTAATTAATAAATAGTTTTAAAGAATTGACATAGTAATTACTATATTTAGTCTTTATAAGAATATATCCCATAAAAATATATTCTATATATTTCTAATGAAAAAAATTTTTCTAAAAAATTTAAATAAAATCTTATTAACTAGTTTGTTTTTTCTAGTTTTTGCCACAAAGTGACGTCACATTCTCTGAAAAATTTTGCTTTCAAAGATTTACGAAAACGCCGCACAGTGACTCTAAACAACAAAAAAATGGCAATAAACCCCTCACTACTTTTTTATAAATTAAGTGCCCTTTGTTAGATAATATTAAAAGACAATGGTTTTTTATTTCAAAAGTAAAAATAATTTTTTCATAAAGCTTTTATTTTGTATTTTATAGGTAAAAGAAGTGAAAAAATTTGATATTATTTTTAAAGAAATCTGAAAAATGTGAGGTTTTTATTCAACTAAATTAGAGAACTTGAAATGTAAATAAAAGTGTATATTTATTTTTAAAATAATATTTTGACTCTTTATATTTCAAATATACTAAAAAGAAAAAAAAAAGTCTGATTTTTTCGTTTAAATTTAAAGACTTCTCTAAAAAAAAGTAGAAAATAATTGTATTTTTTTTGTTTATATATTTTAGTTTAAATTTAGCTTATATTTATTATCGCATAAGTAAAAAGTAATATAGTAATAAAGTAAATAGTAACATAAAATTAATAGGAGTTTTTAATAAAAGTTAATTTACAAATCAAAATTCAGTCTGTTTTTGTTATTTCCTCATAAATGTAATATAATTTTGAAATTATTTTTCTGTCTGTTAATATTACCAACCTTTAAAAATAGATTTTTAAACAGAACCTTAAACAATTTTCACAAAACTTTTAGTTTTTTTTTTTTTTTAATTTTTTTTGCTTAAATGTGAAATGACAGAAGCTTAGTGCAATTAGTGACAACTTCGTTATCTCTATCCCAGAATGTTTGTTGCCTTCGATTTCTCGATTCGAACAGTATGGGAATTCAAAACATCAGTTAGTCCATGCCAATAATAATCAGAGTTGGGATTTTTTTTATCAACTCAAATAAAACCTAATTTATTTCAGCTAATTGTTATCGCAATAATTTAGATCTTCCTATATATTTATGAACGGTAATATTACCGTTCACAAATATATAGGAAGATCTAAGTTATTGCAATAACGATTAGCTGAAATAAAATAGGTATATAATAAAATAGGTATAAAATAAATTAGTATTATTATTAATAATTATTAATAAATAAGTGTATAATAACTATTAATAATTATTAATATTATCAATAATTATTAATAAATAAGTATATATTAATAATTATAATATTATTAATAATTATTGATAAATAGGTATATATTAATAATTATAATATTATTAATAATTATTGATAAATAGGTATATAATAAATTAGGTATATAATAAAATAGTTAATCCTAGAAGATGAAGGGTAGATGACTCATCGAATACATTATAATGTACTCGATGAGTCATCTACCATTCATCTTCTAGGATTAACTCTTACTTCTGATCTTTTTTGGAAATCATTTATTAAAACCATTGCAAAATTAGCATCTGCTAAGGTTGCATCTCTTTATCGTGCTTGACACTTTCTTACTCCAGATTCTATTCAAAAATCTTTTAACTTGTTTGCCCATCGTTATCTTGCTCTATAAACTTCATTCTTTCGATTCCAGTAGTTTCTAACTCTAATAGTGATTGCTTGTAGCCTTGTTGGAACGAAGATGTAAAAAAAAATTTTTTTCAATTAAATCTATCAGAAGTTGTTTGTCCTTGAATTCCTATAAATCGATTAAATATTGTATCTATTTTTACAATTATCATACTGAGATGGTGGAGTAAATTCAATGCCTTATGTTGCTGCATTAAGCACTGAGTTTAACTGTAATGTTCACAACAAATGTACTGTGATGATCATATTATAGTGACAAAAGGTTGTCTGATATTTTAACCTTGTATAATAACTTCAAAAGAAAAAAACTTTTTTTCTAGGTTTTTTTTCTTACTATTAGTTTTTTGATATACAAAAACTCCTTTTTTTATTTTTTATTACTTAAATAAAAACATTTTAAACTAGAATGTTTTCCGCGATTATCTATAATAATAAAGATTTCTCGGGTTCAATTATTCACCGAAAGGTTATCGGGTGGATAATTTTTCTAGGGAAACTGGGTTTCTGGGGTCAGTTTTATCAAAGAACATATTTTAAACTTTAGTTCAATAATTTTGTCTTTTTTTTTTTTTTCCCTCCATAAAGATCGCTACAGCAATCCTTGCAGAAAAAAAAAACGAAAGTTTTATTAGAGGTATAAAAATTTCAGATATGGAACAAACATTAAACTTAGGTATGTCTATACTTATATAAGTGTAAACCTACCTAATGAGAATGCTTTTTAAAAATAGCGTACCGTTATGGGTCTAAAAATAGAATTTTTTCCAGAAACGTAAGGCACTTTGGGATCGATATTCGGACAAACATTGCACAGAAACAAAAGAATTTCTTTAAAAAACGCTAGTAGTTGTGGGATTGATATTCGGACAAACAAACAATTTGACGTCATCATAACGGTACGCTGTTTGTAGCGATGGGAGCTTGATAACAAACAAAAACGCAAAACTTGTGCCTATTAAACGAATTTATTGCCGTCACATTTTGGGTTGAAAGAGTAAAAGTTTAAGGCAACATTTTGCAAAGCATTTTCCTTTTATATAAGCATAAACATACCCGAGCCTAAAGTTTGCTAAAAAAATATTTTATTATTATTACTAAAAGTGGTTTAAAAATAATTGATTAATAATAAAGTAAATAAAATATTATAAAATCATATAATATATTATTACAATATACAATGATTTGTATATTGTGGAATGAATTTGAGAAATATGAGGAATGAATTTTTTTGCATTTTGCTTAAGAAAAAAAAACTTACAAAAAATATAGAAAAAATAAAGAGCCGATTACAGTAAATAAGTAACCTGTAAATTGTCCATACAATACAAGTTAGGTGAGACATGTGCCATTAAATACTTGTCACTTTTATTTATTATGGGATAGCATTTATGTGGTCCATGCGTAGCTATAATCTTATGTAATTTGAGTAACATAATTACCACAGCTGCACATGGTCAACATCAACACCATTAAATAAAGTTGGTTGTAGCCCACATGGAATTTGTTTGTAGTTAAAGACATCTTATTACTCAATTTTTAGTTAATGTTCCTCAAATTATAAAAATATAGGGAAAATATTGTTATAAAGAAAATATGTTGCACTTGGATATTTTAAATAACATACACAAGCAGGGATGCAGAGTCTAAAAAAGGATTACAAATTTGAAAATCACAAAAAAATTACTTCTTCCTAATTTTTGGTATCGAAGAGCTCTTAAAAATAAAAAAGTTTCTGGACTACTAATAGGAAAAAATTAGGACTTTTACTTTAGAAGAATATTCAACGTTTGAACCCGGAGTCCTTGGTTATAATGGTGGAAAGAACTCTAAAGGGATTAAAAACATTAAGTCTTAAGTCATTAAATCTTTTTTTTCCAATAGCAGACCATAATTCAAACTACATGTTTAGATCTTCTGGACACCAGATACCAGGATAAAATAAAGATATCAAGCCAGCGTTCTTTTGGGACTCCGCATCCCTGTACACAAGTAAAAAGTATAACTGATTCCATCATATATATAATAAAATAAAACCTAAACAAAATGATACTAAACATGAATTGGAAATTCTTTTTTTTTACACCTGTAACTTTGTTGACTTAATGTAATTAGCAATAAGATCTTGATCTAAGTTATAGTAAAAAGGTATATTATGCACAGATCTTGGTGCTAAATCTGCAAGCTTAATTTGATATTCATACCAACTTTCTGTTTCTTCATGAAACACCACAGATAAACCTATGCCACAGTCTGAAGGAGAAACTTTTTTAAAAGTGATAAATAAGCTACAATCTTTGAATGTTGATGAAATAAGATATTGGTATATCATTGATAAATCACTAACTTTTTTTATACCATTAACAATATCTTGAACAACTTTAGCCCAAATTTCAGAAGAAAAATCATTATCAAAAACATACTGAGATGAATATTGATTATATAAGTCGTATATATTTTCAATGTCAATACAATCTAGCATTTGCAAACTACGTAATGTATTTAGAATTCCTCCCTTACCCATAGGCTGGCAATACTCTAAATGTTTATCGTGTTTTTTGCCTCCACAAAATGCTTGCACATTATTGCAATTATTTTTTATAAGTAATTCAACTTTAAATGAATCATTTTTTAAAATAGCTACTATTACACTAATAAGTATTTCTTTTGAAGAAATCGATCCAATATTAAACTGCTGCAAGTTATTTATTTTTTCTCCATCAACACTAACCACTAAGTTATTCTGTGGAGTCATAGTTAGAGAATTTAATGCACTGCTCACTCCACATGTACAATTATTGAATAAATCTAATGGGCAATAACTACTAATTTGAGATGTCTTTGCAAGATTAAACTTTGTAACTTGTTGAATACAAAATCTACATACTTTTTTCTTTAAACTGTGTACATTATAATGGTATGGCATAAAACCACATTTGGTTTTAATTTCAACTGAAATACATTTTGAGTCAATTTTTACAGATGGTGTAAAACAGAGATTAGGTAGAAGCTGAACAAACCTGTGTTGCAAATCCAAATCTTTTTCCCACCTATTTAAAGGTCTATAATTTTTTATTTTGTTGTTTAACTGCAATAAAAAATACTCTGAAACTTCAATTATTTTTATGTCAACAAGATAACAAGAGTTTATTAGGAAGCGAACAATAAAATCTAAAAACATTTTTTCATCCTTTAATGTAAACATATTTGGTAGTTTTTTATAACATTTTCCACTCAAGTTATTAAATTCATTCATGTCTTTAAATTTTTTTCTGAATCTAGCAACAACCTTAGAATTTTCAGGTTTCACAATTATATTTTCATTGCCTTCCCCTACATAAGACCATTTTATTTCTTCAAAGTTCTGTGTAGTTAGATATTCCATTATGATAAATCTAAATATAATTAACATACATTTTTAACTACCTGGAGCTAATTATATTATCATAGAATCTTGTATTTTTTACGATTTGATGTTTTAAAGTATAAAACATAAATAACAAGTAACCTTTAAATATTATACATAAAATTACTAACGAAAATAGAACTTTGTTAAGTTGACATTTTCGGACCACAAGAAAGCTATTGAATTTTGCAAAATAAATTCAAGACATATCCGACATAAACAGTGAGGTAGGTGTTGTTGTTTTTTTGATCAATTATTTTTTATCGTGTCTTCTAGTTCTTTATTTCACTATTTAATTAACCATTGAGATTTTAGCCTTTGCATCAACACGTACTGACCTGTTGCCTGCTAGCTGAGACAATGTTTCATAAACTTCTCCATAAGTTGTCATAATTCTTCTAACAGCTTTTGTCCTAATGCACCATTGATGTGGACATAAACTGACCAAGTTCAGAACAACATCATCTGAACCAAACAAAGATTCATACATTGCCGTTTTCTTTGAAAACTCTTATATGATTGTTCCAACATCACGCACAAATTGTCAATAACCATTTTTACTTCAGAGCAGACCTCTTGTAAAACAAGATCCAACGAATGATTTGCGCAGTGAACATACACTGCCTGTGGGTAAGCTTCTCCGAGACGAGCTCTTACTCCAGATAAGTGTTCACTCATGTTACTGACTCCATCAAATGCATAGCCAACTAGTTTATTCATGAATATTGTGCAGCGGGTAAAACACATCAATTATGGTATTAAACAATGTTTCAGCAGTGCTGTTCTGACAATTGTAGAAAGCCATAAAGCATTCCTGGACTTTTAAATTAGGGCCTACATACCACATGCTGACAGAAAATTGCTCATGACCCGCTACATCTGTAGTTCCATCAGCTGTTAGGCCAAGATATGAGCGCTGTGATATATTAGTGACAATGTTTCGTTGAACTGAATGTGCAAACATTTGAATAACTTCATTTTGTATTGTGTCTGACATCCATGTGTCGCGTTTGTTTAACCACTCATTCACAGAGAGTATATCTTGTAACCATTCTACTACAAGCTGCCATAGATTTCCATCATGATGTTCTCTTCCTCTCAATGCCAGACCCTCTAGTCCTAAATATTTAATGCTTGAAAATATTACTTTCAAAACAGTTCGAGCGATGGCCTGAGATGATGACACTTGCTCACTCAAAATTGCAGATATAGGAGTCTGTTTGGAATACAGTATTTTCTCTGTAGCTTCTTTGTGGGCGGATGACTTTTCATGAATTAAAAATTTTTCAGTTCCTTTTTTTCAGTTGGAAAAGCCAGAATCAACAAAAACATTAGCTTGTCGATTGCTTAAAGTTACTAGTTTTTTATTCACAGCTTCCAAGCAGTTAAAACACCAAACAGAATCTGTCTCAGGAACATAGTGTAACCATGGCCATTTCGCAAACCAAATACTCTTACAGGACCTTTCATACTGATCTGATGCAAATTTCTTAGTTGGGAATATGTACGTAGAAGGGGGTTGAAAGGGATAAAGGACCAGGGTAGTACCTGTTACTGCCGGTACAGCAGGTTTGCTTGACTCAAACTTGGCAGAGAAAGTGGATGTGGTAGACACAGATGGCTGTCTTGATGGATCAGAATCATACTGTGATAATGCAGCGGTTTCACAAGCACAATCACCAGTTTCAGTTTGGCCCGTGTCTGACCTTAAGGAATTGGACATGGATATTACATACATTTTACCTTTTAGTATTTGTTAAAAAAAATATTTTTAGTAGTCTTGCAATTATGGAATGCTGCCGCAAAATGACCACACTGCGTATGCTAGCTAACCTAGGCAACTATTTAGTACAATCGTCTGTTCCATGATTTAAATTTAACATATTAAATGCTTACTAACCTTCCTCTTGAAAAGAAGACGTCTATAGTCTTTAAACAGGACTTCTTTGCTTCTGACATTGATTGATTTGTTAAAAAATTGTGCAATTCAGCATTAAAATAAATTTTGCTTTTTTTTAATTTTATTTCATTTTCAAGGAGTCTGTACTCTATACTCCGTACAATAAAACTTTTTTACTAACCGAATTCTATTGAAAAATACTTAATTTAGTTCTCTTTTTTGTCATGGTAATGAATTGTCATGGTAATGACTTTAAAGCAATAGACCTTCAAAAGTTGCGTTTTGACGTTTTCAAAACTGAAAATATTTTTTTTGCGACTAATTTATATGAGTGCGATATTTTCTTTTATGACAGAAAAGTATTTGACATATTTTGTTATTAAAACTTTTAATGCTGAACTCCAAACTAACATAGGAAAGTTTACGGTAACACAAATCAACATCAGGAACTTAAATATAAATATCGATAACTAAAAATACTTTCTAATCGAATGCAAAACTAAAAATACTTTCTAATCGTTGTAGCAAAAAAAAGAATCATTTTTTTGCTACAACGAAGTTTAAATAGAAGGCTTTTTGTATTGAATAAATCCTTCATAAATTCTGGATTTTGAAATCTAATTGATTTAAAAACTTCCATCATAAGAAAACGCAAATTTTTTATATGGATCCTCAGACTATTATTAAAACTTAACAATTCATCAAGAGATAAGTCAAACCTTTTATGGACAATACAAAGAGCTTTTTTATGAATTCTATTTATAAGGTTGTCATTGTATTCAGAAAAAAACATCCAAACCAGGGGACAGTTAAAAAAATTTGACATTATGAAAGCGTTAAACAACAAGGTAGCTTTATTACGGGATAAAAAATTTCTTATGCGTGAAAGAGCAAAACATTAGCTTTATTGCATAAGTATTTAATGTGTTCTCCAAAATTTAGAATCTTATCAATTGTAACACCAAATCTAATTTAGCAATAAGTAGGTCATGCGGAATGAATTCATACGCTTAAGATAGGTCCATTAATAGTATCCTAACAATACCTCTATTGTAAATGCATGCAGGCCACAAAATTAAGTGTATGCTGAGTACTATAACCTCTACGAAAACCACACAAAAGTTTGTCAAATTTTGGCTTCATAAATAACAAAATCTGTTCATAAACGATCATTTGAAAAACTTTAGAGAAAGCGGGTAGAATACTTATAAAGCGATAGTTACCCTTATTTGTTGGGTCGTTTTTCTTAAGACACGGTAAAACATCCGCCATTTTTAGAAATGACGGAAATGTTCTATCTAAGATGCTATTATTGATACAATCTGTAAGACTATCCCTAAAGTGTATTAAGTAAGATTTTAACATAAAAGGATATGACCACTTGCTTTTTTTTTCGTTCATAAACCCTATAATTTTTGTAATATCATTAGGTGTAATGCAATTGAACTTGAAATTATGTGTATTTATTTTGAATTTATTTTTAATACTTATTATACTAGGATGGTCAACATACTTTTTTAATAGCTGACTCAACTGGGTCTAAAGTGCAAGAAGAAAAAAACCACTTAATATGGTCAGCCATACTTGATGGCAATTCAACATTTATGAAATAGTTATTAAAAATATTTGTCAAAAAAGAACTGTTTCAGATAATGTTGCCATTTTCAGTCAGAGTGATAAGCTTGTTAGAATTTTTAGATTTGTCCGAAAATAAAGGCTTAGTTAGCTTCCAGAGAGATATATTTGAAGTCGAAAGTGTATGGATTTGCTCAAAGTATATCTTCTTATTTTTTTCAGTTTAGCTTAACCGCCAAATTCCTTTGTTTCTTGTACATTAGAGCTGAAAAATCTGATTTATCAACTAAAAATCTTTTATATAATGAAGAATGGAGCATAATTGCTTTTCGTAAGTCTTTAGTTTATTGTTACTTCTTAAGATTTTTTATTTAAGAGGGGCACGAATATTTAGCAAATTGCTCAATCAAAGATCTTAAATAGATCTTAGCATGGTGTATATTAAATGGTGATGATCACTCAGAACCGTACTAAAAGTATTTGAAAGTTGGAAGCTCAGCTTTCTGTTAGTAAGAATAAGGTCTATACAGGAAGGGTTATTGACCGATATAAAACAAGTCGGTTGTTTAATTAAATTAGTACATTGATAAAATTGAAGGACTTCCTTCTTATTTTAGTTGTATATTAAAATCTCCTATTAGAATAAAATCAAGATATGATTGCAAATAAAAGTCAAGCACTCCTTTAAGGTGATTGAAGAAATAGTCACAATTTTGATTTGGGGGTTTATAACTGGCTATGATGAGCCATTTCCGTATTCTTAACTTAGTTTCAAAAGTGATTATTTGAATGTCACTGAAGAAATCCTTTTTAGCTAATCTTTTAGAAATGATATTTTCATTTATGTATACAAGAAGACCTCCGCTATGTTGAGTGATATTAAACCGATAAGGCGTTTTATAACCTGGATGTAAAAATTAATTTATTGTAAAGGAGTCATCTAGCTTGGTTTCACCTTATATATGTATATCAACAGTTTTATTTATATAGGTAATAATATCTGAAAATTTATTTCGAATTGAATAAATATTTAAAAATGCTAAACTGATATTTTTGGGATATTTGGCCCTTAGATTATCCAAACCAGAATTTAGACTAATGCCTTCAATAGTACTTGGTAAGATAGATTGGTGATAAGAATCTATAGGGGAATGTCTGTCAAATAGACTTTATATATGCAATAAAGTTCATGGCTAGCCCATCTGATTCTCGTGTGTTTAGGTAAAAACCACGTAGCCTAAGGTGTTCATTAGACAAACTAGAATTATCAATAATATTAAATTTAGTTAGTTTTAATTTTTCGGCTAAGTGTAGCGACGTTAGTTGGGTTTTAGCATTATCGAAACAACGAATTGGTGTAGATAAGATTGTTGAACAAGAAGGGTTGGATTTTGAAATAAAAGAAACAAGATCTTTTTTCCAAAGCAGAATCAGACGAATCCCTTGTACAGTTATTTTTTCCAACATGCAGGATAATTTTTGAAGGTTTTTTTTTTTAAAAGTGGAACTGGGTTAAAATGCATGTCTTTAATGGTAGCACCACTATATATTATTGCTTTTACTTTTCGAAGCTTATGCATTGTTTTTTCGTTAATCCCCATCAAAATAGAGTCTTTACATATTAGCGTTGTTCCTGCTAGCCATTCATATTTATCTGTTTCGTTATCGCGAGTATTGATTATTTTAGTGTCGTTG